AACAGAGTCTTTGGGTATATTATACTACACTTATGATAGGACCCCCCCCCCCCCCCAAATATCATAGGTAATTAATAAGGTCCCAGTATTGTCCCTATAATTTGTAATCCCTGTGAAGAGGAGGGGATACTCATCTTGGGTCTGAATTCCCCTTTGCCTTACGACCCGAAAAGTGCAGCCCGGCGACGCACAGGCCAGCAGCTGCCGAAGACTTCTTGGACATACCCGCCTTCCAGGAGTTGGCATACAATGGCTTGTATTTTCCATAAAGGTTTATATAGGAGTTTCCGAAAACAAGGGNNGGGGTACCTTATTTTGGGGTCCTATTATAAAAGGGATCCTACTATTTAGGGTACTAGATTAGGGTCCCCTATTTTCAGAAACCCCCATATGGGTTTATAGGTTGTTATATGGGTTTACACGGTGCTTCCATCAGCGAAGACTCTTAGGATTGTCGTGCCCGTGGCCCAACACATCGGAACCAAACCCCAAGCATGCTATGGCCGGGGTGGATCGAGCAATTAGTGCTATGATTCCCCTTGCATAGGGCGTCTCAGAGTAATGTACTATCTGCGTTTTTGTTGATGGCTTAAAGATAGTTCAGATCGACTGTGATCTCCCTGGTAAACCTTAAACGGTTTAGGGTTTAGGGTTTAGGGTTCAGGGTTTAGGGTTTAGGGTTCAGGGTTTAGGGTTTAGGGTTTAGAAGCTTGAATTTCAGGGCCGCTTCACATCTTCGATGCTCAGAGTTGGGAGGTGCTTCTGGATTTGAGGTTGGGCTTAGAGCTTCCCCAGAGGCTCCATTGTAGTTCCGTTTTGTGGTTTATACTTAGGGTTTTATAAGGTAGTCCCCACAACGAACTACAAAGTGCAGTAGTTAATAAACAATCGTACAGCAAACGACCGTGACAACACCCGACAGCACCACTCCGACGAACATCAGCAACTAAAATCAGTAAGAACCCTAAACCCTAAACCCTAAATCCTAAACCCTAAACCCTAAACCCTAAACCCTAAATCCTAAACCCTAAACCCTAAACCCTAAATCCTAAACCGATGCTCTGAACCCAAAACCGAAGCCCGAAGCTTCCCGACCTCAAACTCCTAGAACATGAAAGGTCTGGGGCACGCTGCAAAATATAGGGTTTTGGGGGTCGGGTTTAGGGTTTAGGGTTTAGGGGTTTAGGGTTTAGGGTTTAGGGTTTAGGGTTTTGGGGGTCCCGTTCTACTATGATTCTAATAAGGAGCCCCCCAAAACACTGTGGGTAATTATTGAGACCTCTACATGATCCTTGCCCAAGCGCTGATTAAGAAGATTTTTTGTCTTTCGCAAGATTCTGTGTATACATCCCAACATTTTGGTGTTATAGAAAGTTGCCTGGGATCCTACATTACACTCAGTTAAGTCATCGATCCGCAAAACGGCCCCCGCCCAACCCAACACTCTAAACCTGCAAACCTTCGCGTCCTGGGGCATCATACTCTAAACTCTGCCGCCTTGAAAGCCCTGTGCTCGAAACCCTCAGCCCTGATATAGGCGCCTTAATAATTAGAATAGGGTTTTGGGGTACATGATACTAGATTCTAGAAATATAGTAAGGAACCCCACAATATAGGAAATTATTTCGGAAAAGTTGGGCCCCTTTTCTTACACCCCAAACTGACGCTTGTTGTTGACACGCAACGGTCGCTGCTACACCACCCTGTCTAAGATGCACCTGACTGAAGTCGTCGCCCATGTCCTTTTGGATCTTGCGCGCCCGCTCCACGTTGACCTGGGGCACCTGCAGGAAGTGTTCACTGGAGCGTCTCTTCGAGGCTCAAAATAACAGCGGATTTTTGGCTTTAGGGTTTAGGGTTTAGGGTTTCATGCTTCGGGACCCTACACCCGGCTCCTGTAGCATGGTTTTTGGGGGCCTAAAAGCCTGGAAGGAAGAAAGCTTACATACCGTAAACCCTAAACTGTAAACCCCCAAACCCTGAACCCCTGATCCCTAAACCCTAACCCTAAGCCGGCTTTAAGGGTTTAGGGCTTAGGGTTTAGGGTTTGTTTAAGAGAGGTTCGATAGGAGTTACGTGAGGGCTTCATAAGCACTTCTTCATGCTTTCCTTGAGCCAAAACCCGCAACCCTCGCCCACACGCCCCTCATAGGCGTTTCATGAAAAACAGGGGCACCTCAGTGTTATGGGATACTAGTGAATCGAACCCCTAAGCGCCGAAACCCTGAACCCTGAACCCTAAACCCTATGGTTTGGGGTTTAGGGCTTAGGGCTTTGGGTTTAGGGCTTTAGCCCCAAACCCTAAGCCCGCTCAGAAAATCTAAAAACCAAGCTCAAGACCCAAGCCCTTCTCGGGCTTTAACCCTAAGGGTTCTGCAGCGGTTTATCAGGTTTCAGGGTCCAGGGCTTCGGGTTTATAGGGTTTAGGGTTTAGGGTTTTGGCTTTAGGGTTTAAAGATTTGGGGCTTCTATCGGGGGTTCTGGGGTCGTGGTGAGTTGTCTAAGGGTCCGGTCACCCAAGCTTGGATCCTAAACCCTAAACCTTAAACCCTAAACCCTAAACGACATGAGCCTTAGCCTTAAAGCAGCGGCCGCAGAATCTGCACTAATCTGGGCCTTGCCGTCATCGATGTGCCCCTTGAAGCCTCCAGCAAGTGGGTAGCTCTCTAAATGAGGGTCCCCTTTTCGGGTCCTTGTTATAAGGGTTTAGGGTTTAGGGTTTAGGGTTTAGGGTTAAGGGTTTAGGGTAGTTCTCTAAATGAGAGTCCCTTTTCGGGTCGGTGCCGACTTATTTTGCGGACCTAAGAAAGGACCTTACTCTAGAAAACTATACATGTGTGAACGGTCCGGAGTTTGGGCTATCTAGACATGAAACCCTAAATGCATAATGTAGGGGCCTAAATGATTAGAATAGGGTCCTGGGGGATTCTTCTTCTAATTATAGCATAACACACCCCAAGACCCTATTCTAATTGCGAAGGCCCCCTACATCAAACCGCTCAACCCTGAAACCGCACAAACCTCCAAACTCTCAGCCCTTCTTATATAATTCAAGTATCATGGACCCCAAAACCCTATTCTAACTCTTAAGGCCCCTAAACCCTGAACCCTAAACCCTAAACCCTAGGCCCTAAAACCTTATAGTACCCTTTATAATAATTTAGGAATTCCTAAAACCCAAGGCGCACGGCAACCTGAGCTCCAGTATTGTAGGGGCCTTAAGAATTAGAATAGGGTTCCTTTAAGGGTTCCCTTAAAAAAGGGATACTATAAAGGGTACTATAAGGGTTGAGGGTTTAGGGGCCTTAAGAATTAGAATAGGCTTTTCTGGTCCATTTACTATAATTATATGATAAGAAAACCCCCAAAATATTATAGGTAATTATTGAGGCCCCTATATGAGCCTATAAAGGTTGAAAAAGGCCCTGGCAGTAGGTGCAGTCTGGAAACTCCATTCCCCATTTAGGGTTTAGGGCTCAGGGGTTAGGGGGTTTGAGGGTTTGGTATCAACCAGTAAACGCTCTCAAAGGGGGATCACCGACACCCCTACAAACACTCAACACAAAGCTTGAACCCATCTTGACTCTTGACGGCATAAGACCACATCCTAAACCCACAAACAAACTCAAATTCTCAAGCCTGCAACCCTTACAAACTCGTTTAAAGCCCTTCCATACAAAGCTAACCACCACCAAGCCAGACCCGAATACCCTCAGATTCAGAATCAGAGCCGTATGACCCCCTAAACCCTAAACCCTAAGCCCGACCTTCCAACTACCAGCACACATTTTTACTAGGCTCTTGTTACAAACCTAAACATCGAATTTCAAGGGGCCCCTACCAAAAAAAGCAGGTTTTGGTAGGTTAAGGTAAAGCCTAAACCCCTCAAAGTGTAGGTCCGGGGCCTTTCAGGTTGATCAGGAACTTCTCAGGGTTGTTCATCATCTTCTGAGCTCCCTTCCATGTTGGGTCCTGAGGGTCTCTAGGGTTTAGGGGTT